CATATACATTAATTCCACTATAAAAAGAAGCGTAAACCATCAATCAGTACAATCACATATCATCAATACAAAAAATAATCAAATAATATATCTCTCAAACATATATCACTTTAAATATTTAATTCACCGCCACGTGTGACATTTATCATCCGTTATCATTATCAATGACATTAGCCACAAACGGAACATTCTCCTTTTATATTGCAAGAAATAATCTATAACACGACCACTCGTACTATCACGCAAGGGGTCATTCATTAATCATAACTGTACATGCCTGTCTATCATTATTGATCATTAAAAAATCATTATATCGTAACATTTTGAAATGGGGAAAAGGGCCCAGAATGCAACTCGGTTTACCTACAAACCTTTACACGTCATAAGCTGAATTTAATGACAATGAATATTCAGGAACGGGAATAGTCGTGAACAGTGTGAAGTGTGTCGGGTCGTTTTTAAACTTTGAAAAGATGAAGTGTGTTGTCTGCTTTACTTTGTCGTACATTTTAGCGCGTGTATGTTTGTATTTTACTTGTGTGTTTCTTCAAGAATACAGTGTCTGAAATAAATGTAGTTATTTATACTAATATAAAAAATTATTGTTTATGGTGTCTAACAAAATTTTGAAAATCGGGCTACATAATATAATAAAAAATACCTATATCGCCGTCAAACATTGATGTTCCCGGTTTTTGATTTTGAAGTCCGTTGAAAATAAAATATATTCGTGTCCCATTTTAAACTCCAATACAAATGAATGAAAGCTTATAATTAATAGGAAACCTGCAAATATTTTGCAACGTTACACATTACTATAGATAGACATATATTTTTATCCGGATATCCGGGCGAGAATGCACACATAAACTTATTTAGAAATAAATATCGTAAATAGAAATAGTAAAGAAATAAAAAGTTGGTAAGCGTACGAGAAGAAAACGATTGTACGGAGAAAAATGGAAAATTTCAATTGAATTTTCGTATTAACCGAAATACATAATTCACAATGTGTAATCCTTAATTTACTTTGATCGTTAAATGTTTTGTAAAAGCTTATCTTTGAAAAAGACTATACGTCTGTAGGACCCACAAATAATGTAAATGAATTATTTAAAAAAAAACAGACAAAAAGATACCTTTCAAAGACACAAATCGAGCTATAGAAACATCACTAATGTTCTTTTAGAAGCATGCTGTATTTTTTTCTAGTGAACTCATGTAAAGTGCTATATACATTGGCCTACATAATGGCCTTGAAGCATGTAACTTGATGAAAACTAAAGTTACGACGTTATGCCTATTGTGCTTTCCTCCGGAAATCATTATTCAAGTTGTTACGCCAATCCGTTGCGACGTGCTCATTGTTGCTGGCAACATTGTTATGTTTTCACTCGAGTAGAATAGTTGGTACGTAATAAACTCTCTTGACGAATGCTTTTATTGACATTTAAGTTACAGTTGTCTGTAAATTGATAGGAAATTATTGGAATACTAAAATATCAAATTGCTCACTCAGTGATTGATAATAAAAATTCTTGCGTACCTAGAATTAATTCCGATACAAATATGAACTCTGCCTAGTTATACGAACAAGACCAATTTAAGAAAACGGTCAAGAGCGAGAGACACTCTGCATAATATTCGATTCAATTCATTTATAATCTACGAAAGTATGATCATGAGTCTGAATACCGATCATTACACAAATGGATGCCCATTCGGTAGCGCAAACACGTGCGAACTCTAACCTTTTCTCATTACTAGATTCACCTAATGCTCCTTCCTAACTCACTCCCCACTTTCAATACTTGTTCACAAGTCACACTAAAATCTACGTTCTGCTTCTAATCGTTTGCTCATGTGTCCTTCTCTTTGCTCTGATGTAGTTCATTCTTCCTTCTTTATTAAGTCTATTCTCCTATGGAACTCTCTTCCTTTAGACCTAAGAATGTCTACGAGTCGGTATGCGTTTAAAACTAAGCTATCTTTTAGAGCAAGTAGATTCCTTTAATGGCTAATCTTGTATATATTGTATTTATATTTATGTATGTATGTATGTACGTTTCTATATACAATATATATATATTGATTCATATTTGATCATCATATTGTATGTAGATACATATATTTACACATACATTTACAAATAAGATTATTTGTATGTATTTTTTAGTATGTGTGTATACTAGTATATTAATTAGCTCATCTAGTTAAGTCTATTCTTATAACTATTTTTCTGATAATTGTGCACTTGACCACACATTCTTTTCCATTTTACCTTAAGGTGACTGGCAGAAAATGCCACATACATTAAGTCCGCCTATGTACATTTGTGCATAAAGAATAAACAAAAAGTATTTATGTTTATCTATGATGACCGAGGTATTCGTACAAATATAAATTTGAAAATAAGACTTCTTATTTATATCTAAGAAGGTTTTTCTGTTATTTGTTAGTTAAGTTGTGTGATTCAAACCGTTCTCGATAATTACAATCATGTTATCGTGAACTAACAATACAAGTTACATATTTTAATTGTCAATCTGACTTCTGATTGAGCTACAACGAAAAGTGGCATTGTTTACCTAGTAAATGATTTATGATTAAAATTGGTTTGTAATCTAATACCTTGTACATTACATAATATATTATATTGAATTATGATTGGAAATTTGGATTTCTTTTGTAATTTTTAAAATATAGTAATTAGTTTTTTAAATATTTAATAGCACGGCGCCTGTCGTAATTAGTAACTTCTAATGAGAATATATATAAAATTTGAGAGTTACGATTGCTTTTTTGTCGTGTCAAAATTTTAATTATCCTACGCGTCCTTTAAAGGAGATATTTGTAACAAATTTTTACCATTGTTCTACTTGTTAAGTCACCACAAATTTTAATTCACTTCGACGCTTGTAAGGCAAACTCTGAAAGTTATTGCTATAAATCTAGAATTCACACAAAAACTAATTTCAAATATTCTTTTTTCCAAACACTAGACGCAAAAAGAACAAATAGGAAGGTTACAAAGCGAACACAAATTAAGACCTTAATTTCTCAGCGGCAAAGTTAAACTTTGCTCGTTAAACTATATACATGCAAAGGAATCGGTCGCGTTCGGTCTCTCTGCACTGGCAAGCAAGTTGACAGAAATTAGCCAATTCGTGTGTGACTTTATTTAATGTATACTCAACTCACCACTTAACCGGATTGGCAATTTGGCAGTGGTCGAAGAAATGTTTACTTTCCGCAGTAAAAATATACTGGGAATGTGGGAACTACTTTTTTCTGTTTCATTTCTGTATTCACGATGTAATTTTAAGAAGAGGTGCGTCGTATTTTTATGAAAAAAACTTAAGTTGATATTTTTTTTGTCTTAGTTTCAAAGCTAGTATATATCCTCGTCAATGCATTGATGAAACTTAACAAATCAAAATATTTAATTTTGTAATGTGAAAAGGGAAATCTGGGTAGAATGAATGCAGACTGTTCTTTTGTCTTGCACCAATAAATATCCTTGCGGCTCGAGGGATCTGGTAAAGATGTTAGATATCTAGAAATATGTATTTTAAAAATCTCGTCAATCGCACCTTAATCGCTGCATGGAAGCGACAAGGACAGAAAGTCTAACCACATCACGTAACCTAACCTACTCATTGAATTTTTTTCTATCGCACTTTTTCGTTGTTATTATAACCAATTTTTATTTAAATCAAAATAACTAATCTGTCCGATACTTATCATCAATTGCAAATCACATCAGTAATGACAAGTTCTATACAATTTATAATTTCGATACAAAATATTAGATTGTTTAACAAGGAGCTAAAATAACCCATTAAATGCGAGGTAGTTATACTGCCACGAGTTTAATTGACTTTAGAAGATTTTTTCGACGAAAAACTGCTTTTTTCTTATTTTATTTTTGCCTTAAATTTCCATTTTTATTTTCCGAAATGTTTTTCTTTTTTACTGTTTCAGTATGATAATCGATATAAAAGCTTGTCGATCATGAATATTATTAAAATCTAATCCTTAGGCTCCAAATAAAATAAATTAAAAAATTACCCTAGAACGAGAACTGCTATTTTAGCCCCGCTAAAGACGGACTCTTTAAGCAAGAGAAGTGAAAAGTTAATTTCTTTATAATCGACACGCTAAACGATAAAATTATTCAGGGATCACAGCCGACCGCGTTCCTAACCTAAAAATCGTAAGGCACTCGCAATTTGAGCGTGTTCTCTCAAAGTGGCTCGTTAACATTTTAACAAATGATTTATAGCTTTAGGCTAAACGTGATACCGTTCACTTTTCCTTGGTCTCTAAAAGCTTTATTGTCCATTGTGATTTATGCTTTCCTTACAATACTGGCCGAACGGTTCCGTAAGCGTTAGTCTGTTTGGGTTTTGGTTGAATGTATCGATAGAGTTAATATACATATATAGGCCCATATTTCATTTTTCTTTCTAACATTCTCTTTATTTTGCCGACGTTGGTCGGGTGGCTCGCACTCCGGTTTTAAAGTGTCGTTATTACTGAGGTTCGGAGTTCGAAACCAATTCGGTCAGTGTAGAGAATGAACTTTTCTATATTGGCGCGGATCTGGGTGTTGTGTTACCATAGTTGTTTCAGATTTGAGGGCTTTAGCTACTCAATTTAACATTTGAGTAATGCATGTTATGTGGTCTAATATTTTTTTTTTTAACTTTCTACAGCAAGCATAATGGAATGATACTTAAGTCAAAAATTAAAATAAAAGATCCAACACGAAAAAATGTCGACATTGATACTTGACGCAAAAGTGGAAGGATTTAGAAGCTTTGGAAGAAAAAGGTATAACATTGATCGCGTATTATCAAAAAGCGATATCAGAAGTCTGAACCACCGAGTATTTATAAAGGTGATAAAAATCAAGATCGCGAATATAAACATATCACACTGTGGAGTTCGTTTGTCTTACAACATAGTTAATATATAGATAGAATTTAAAAGCTTACCTTGTACATCCAAAAGAGGGTTATGCTTCAGTGGTCCCAAGTAGAAGACGAGACTGTTACTAGTGTGTGACGTCACTGTCAGAGTGACATGACCTTCGTGGCAGGCGGGCGGCGACTGGTACATAGCCCAGCCTTCTCCGTGGAAACCTATGGAGGTTTGTTCGCAACGAGGCCCTGATAGACCTTCTGGACATTCGCATTTGTCCGCAAACGGAGTACCTAGTAGGAAAGGTAACATTTTATTAAAAAAAAAAAGGTTTTTTATGATTTTCACATTTATTAATTTACATGAGGCATGTCAACAATTCAACCCTAATGAAACTCTTCCATGTTGCTTTGAGTTAGGGTAGCCAAGGCTGTAAATAACATTAATCGGTTTTAATACTGCAAAGTTTAGAACATTTGATTTTTATTATTATTATTTACAATTGAAACGCTAAATGGAAGATTAATGAATGATTTCCCAACACAGGTTAATTGTAATCTTACCGGGAATCAATTTTATAAACCACACCACAATTTTGTAAACAGATGTTTTTTTTTTAATCACTACATTGTATAAAACAAAGTCGCTTTCGCTGTCCCTATATCCCTATGTATGTTTAAATCTTTAAAATTACCCAACGGATTTTGATGCGTTTTTTTTCATAGATGGGGTGATTCAAAAGGAAGGTATTTGTATAATACAACACCACGCAGGCGAAGCCGCCGGCGGAAAGCTAGTAATAAAACATATTTTCATATATTTGCCGACGTGCAAAACCTTATGTGATACTGTATGCATCTACCTACACTGAATTTTATTCCAAAAACAAAAAAGTTCCAGTTCCAGTTTACGTGTGTTTAAAAGAATATAGACCGTATTATTTTCTTCATAAATTCGAATAAAACAAACTATTAAAGTGTTTCCAAACAATATTCGTGTTATAAACAAAGATGATACGGGTTAAGACAATCTCCCTTACTAAAGCTCTCAGACAATAACTGCGAGAAATTGTACGTACAGTTATCGCTAAAGTTACTGTCGTAACATTTGCATAGGAGAGAAATGCTCCAACTAAGCAAATAGCGATCTTTACCTGTAACTTCTGAGTCGTTAACTTTATTAAGCATTTCCTTACACGGATTAGCCGTTTTGTATAATTTAAATAGCTGCTGTTATGAGCCTTACTTAATATCTCTATTGCTCTGAGGATTATTGTACTCATACAGTCTTGGTTGGGGTGCGAAATCGGTATAATTAATTAATAACATTTTTATAGGCAAAAATTACAAAAATATTATTTCATTTCAATATTTGTCATCAAAATACCAAAACAAAAATATGATATTAGTGGTTTTCTTTTTTAGAGATATTCTTACTTTTGTGTTGTAATTTGACGCTGAAAATACTTTTTGGTGATAAATATTGTAAATTTCATACATATTTAATACTTCAATCAAGACTTCTTGGTTTACATGAATGATTACACGCTTTGCTTACCTCCATTAAGACAGATCAATGGGTCTTCAATATCACATGTGCATTCGGACTCTACTCTTGCAGAAACGCCGACGAAGCTAGTGGTATTAGTATAGACGGAGAGTGGGACATTATTTTTCATTAGAACGTTGCGACAGGAATCTTCACATTGCTCCTTTTCTATTAAACATTCATCTATTTTCACCATGTAGATTTTTGCATCGAGTTCGCTTTCCAACTGTAAGGCAGAAAAACAAATGAGTGATACCACTTATTACCTAAAACTGTTTTATATTTTATCTTGAAACAAATGTTAGAAATTAATAAATTTATAAACTAAAAACATTGAAGCAAAGTTACGTTCTAACTTTTATCAATTATACAAACTGATTGACACAAAGTAACCATTTGTAGTGTTTATAAGTAACATAAAGATAATTTGATTAGATTTTTTAAATAAAATTGGAAAAAGTGTAAACTTAGTTTTAGTACACGCATAATAATAATAATATTTATTGCACAAATATACGACATCTTATTATGTACGAAGAAAAGATATCAGAATGTACACAAAAAGGCCACAGACAATGCAAAAATTTACTTGATTTTTCATTTTGTTTTCAGGAAATTATATCATTATTCAGTGTCTTGTAGCATCTGAATGATACTTAGTCTTTGATTCACAGCAAATTGTTATTTAGTAATAAGAAAATAGTAATAGGGATGACGACTGGGTAAAAAAAAAATGCATTTCTGATTAGTCCGTCAGTCAGATAATAGAAAAATATTAGATACGTGTTTTTTTTACTTCAGTTTAACTAGAAATAGCTTAGATAACAGGCATCAAAGGCATCATGCGAAATTTCAACTCCATGTAACGCCGTAATTTTATAATTACGAAAAAAATAAAAATAGGTGTTTAATATTTTTTAACACTCTACCTGATGGACAAACAAACAAAAATTAGTTGTCATCCCTATTGACTATTTAGGGCACTGAGTAACATGAAACTTTGTGGTTTAAACTTTCAAATTTAAATCTCTAAATGAAAACCACTTAAAAGCGTGCGCGTTTTTACTTAGCATGATTGTAATCTCAAAGAATAAATCCCTTAAACTAAGAAAAAATGGAAATTCAAGAAGTGCTAGAAAGCGGATACATTTTTAAATCATTTTTTGAGCAGTTGATTTCTCAAGTTCCATAAATTGATTCAATTAAGGAAATGAATATATAATAATAAGTACTGACCTTTTCTTGAATGCCAATGACCATGCTATCCAGTTTCTCTGAAGGATAGTACGGAGAACCGTGAGCGGAAAATCTCACATCTAAATAAACATCCTTCACAGTCGGCTTGGCGAACACGGTGAAAACGTCTACATTGTCCATTGAAGTGTTGTACAACTCCGAGAGGCGACGGTGTAGTTTGTCTTTCTTACTCGTACCCTGAAAGCAGAACATTTAAATAGTCACGAGTTGAAGCATCAAACACTAATTATGAAGTTGTTAATTATAATTACAAATGGCATATAAAACAGAACGATAACGCAATTATATTAATACAATCGTTAAGAGAATCTTTCAAAAGTTATTAGATAAGTTTTGAAACGGGTTCATATATATAGTATTAATTTGTTATATTGATGTACGAGGGCGGGATGATAAAAAGCTAGCCTAGCAAAGAAAAACTTGAATTAGAGTGTTAAAAGTATATTTATTTTTCGACATAGTCTCCTTGAAGCGCTATGCACTTTATCCATCTATGCTCTAAAGCCTTAATGCCATCCCTGAAGTGGTTTTCTTCAAGCCCTTCAAAATAACTGTCCACGGCAGACATCACCTCGCTATTATTTTCAAATCTTTGTCCACCTAAAAAATTTTTGAGCTTAGGGAATAGATGAAAGTCAAATGGTGCCAGACCAGGAGAATAAACTGGGTGTGGTACCAAATCATAATTTAATTTTTTTTTTGCCAGGCTGGGTCTTTTTTCACGAATAAACACTTGTAATTTATCCAGTAGATCAGCATAATATTCGCCATTTATGTTTTGTCCTTTTGGAAGGTAATCAATCATCAATATACCCTTCGAATCCCAAAATACTGACGCCATGACTTTCCCCGCTGATTTCACGGCTTTTGCTTTCTTTGGAGCCGGTGATCCTTTTCCCGTCCATTGTTTAGACTGAATTTTTGATTCAAGTGTATAGCGGTGAATCCAAGTCTCGTCTGTAGTAACAAACCGTCGCAGAAAATCAGTTGTATTGCTCTTAAAGCGGTCCAAACTTTCTAGTGAAATTTGCATACGAACGCGTTTTTGGTCAACTGTAAGCAATCGCGGCACCCACCTTGCGGATAATTTTATCATACATAATTCTTGAGTCAAAATGTAATGCGCCCGTTCTTAAGTGATGCCTACAGTATCAGCTATCTCGGAAAGTTTCAATCGTCGGTCAGCTAAAACTGCATCATGAATTTTGATCATAATTTCTGGAGTAGTGGCATTTTTGGACGTCCTGGACAATGTTCATCTTGGGTGCTGGTACGGCCACGTTTAAATTCAGCCACCCAATTTTTTATGGTCACATATGAAGGAGCATTTTCTCCCAAAACATCCTAAATCTCCGAAAAAATCTCTCCACCTTTTACTCCTTTTAAATGCAAAAACTTTATCACAGCCCGTAGCTCAATTTTATCCATTTTGCAGAAAAAACAAAATAATGCTTTTTGAAATGTCAATATTTCAAAGAAAAACTATACGATCGATTTGAAATTTGGAACACTGGCAGCTAATGAACCAATGCATAAAATACTAAGGAAATTTTATATCGTTATTATACAAAATATGGGTTGGGCTAGCTATTTATCATCCCACCTGCGTATTACTACTATTTGATTACGTAATTTTAGTGTCTATAATATTATTTTAATTAATTTTCTATAAAATTATTATGTTATAGACAAAGCAGCACATCCAGTTATTACAAAATATAAAAGTTTTCAAAACCAAATTTTTACAATCAATATTAAATTTTATTATTAACATGTTAAGATTTAGTACATATTTGAGTTTATCCTTTTTTAGAAACATGACGAACCAGGTGTCAACGGTACCTATGATTAGAATATAATGGATCTATTTTTTTATTGGATCTATTTTTTTATTCCAAGTGTGCATACAAAGGACAAATAATACAAATCTTAAAGGAGCGCCGCTCTCGCGATTAAAATACTAAATTGAAAGAAATAATTATTTCTACACAACATACCTACTTTAAGTACATTTATTTTCATACAAACAAACAAACAATAGTTCGAGTTTACAAGAATATAATTGATTTGCATTATATAATTGATTAAATCTTATATTTCAGTCTCATAACATTTTTGATTGTTGAACTATTGTAACAGGTGTGACATTTTTACAGTAAATTATGCTTCTTCAATGCCATATGCTCGTAACTGAGAGGTTTTCTTTTGTAATTGGCAGGAAGTTTCTGAGACATTGCTTTTCCTTTTTTGTCAATCTTATATTGAAAAGTCAAGTTTAATAAGAGAAATGCAATAGAAATACCACTTTTACTATTGTATGATCGGTATCTGTAAAAAACACGTGTAAATGTTTGATGATGTGAAACCTTTTATTGGCCTTAATGTTAAGCTTGTTATAACCTATACTATTATTTGTAACGCTGTTGGTTTCAATTATAATAAATAAATAAATAAATAATCTTTAGACTATTTACAGTTACGTCGAGAAAGTAGACGGAAATTTAAAATAATTTAAGGAGAAAGATCAAAGATAACATAGATAGTATGAAAAATGGTACGTATAAGGAGTGAATTAAAATTTATTTTTAACGTTTAACATAATACAGTACTGATGTCAAAATTTTGACTTAACAGAGATTGAACAAACATAAATGGCTTGAGATTTTTTTCTCACAATGTAACTTAAAAAATCATTAAAACTAATGTTTAAGATATACATATTTTCGTACAAATTTGTCTAGCTTCCATTATTCAATAGAAGTTTTATAAGTTTCATTTTATTATGAAAACTTATATTTTGATAAAATACAATATTAATTCTCAGATTATTGTGTAGTTGTTATTAGAAGATAAAAATAGCTTAAATATTCACGCTCGGGGTACTTTGAAATATTGGGACTTATTACGATTAAGACTATTGGGAATAAGACTTATATTCTGATAAAATACAATATTTATTATTATATTATTGTGTTGTTGTTATAAGTAGAAAAAATAGCTTTAATATTCACGCCTGGGTACTTTGAAATATTGGCGTTAAACTTAGTGACAGTTGAATATCTATAAATTAAGATTTGGTGTTTTCTAATGAAACAAATGTAACGATAATAGGTCGTCATATATTTAGCTCGTCGATGTTTTCTTTTAACTCGACCCCTAACGTATTAAAACTTTAAATCAGGTGGAGATACTTGTCAGTTTCGAACAAAATGATGTGCTGTTGATTTTTTCGAGATCTAATAACGTTTATGTTCTTGGTTGTACTTACATCCGCCTCTGGAACAATGAATTCCTCTGCTGTGATATTGACAAAGCGTATGGAGCCAGATTTGTCCACCGCTTCTTCGGGGATTTCCTTAACAGTTACATTAACAGTGGCTTCCACCCAATGGAACGGTACTATGGGTTCGTTTTCTTCCGTAACCTGTAACAAACATTTAAATGCACTGATTAATAAGTTAAGAATAGCTTGATGGCGCAGTGGATAAGCGCCGCGGCCTGCGATCGTTGTTGTTAAACAATTTTTCAAGAATCGGCCACGGGATGGGTAATCAAAAAACATTATCTCGAGCCACTTCGTGATCTGGAAGGCACTTTAAACCGTTAGACCCAGCTGTATTTGACGTCGTTTATAATCCGCATCCTATCCGTCCAATCCGCATTGGGTCAGCGTAGAAAGTCATAGCCCATCCTTCTTAACCACCCATAAGGAAGGCCTGAGTCCCTGCAGTGGGGAACGCAACAGGGCTGATGATGATGATGATGACTCATTAATAAGTATCAGACAACACATACATTGCTTCCAAATTAAGTAGCTAAAGCAACAACCATGTAAATCTAAAATAATAAGGGGAACACAATACCCAAACTAATAAAGTGAAAAGATAATTATCTATGTTGACACGACAGAGAATCGAACCCGGGACCTCAAAGGTGCTAATACCCTGAAACCGGCGTACAAGAAGGTCACGAAGGTCGTAAAAAATAACAACACGAAAATATGTTGTAACCAACTTTGAAAATTACAACCTTAGCAATAGGGATTGTTCAGATCGTGAATAACTAGAGAAGAAAAAAGTATTGGAGCCACAGATTGGATGGGTGGTAGTAATTTATTTTTGGCAATTGAAGTTAATTGTGTTATACACGACGCCAAAAACTAATTATAACTTGGTTTCTAATCATTCCCGTGCCAAAACTCGGGAGTAAAACACCCTATGTATAATTACCCCTTGTATAATAATCTACTTTTATTTCTTGACATCGCATACTCCTTCACAATCATAATCTTGAGTTGCTACAACGCTATTACAAAAAGAAATATATTTATCTTATCTATTTTATTCATTGGTCTTTAATAGAGGTTATAAATACTTACAAAAAATAGAATTTATTTAGGCATGATTTAAAAACAATCTACTAAGTGTAACTAACCACAAATAAAACTAATTTCATTAATGTCCAATTCATAATTCTGATTTATGAGGATGCTTGATTAATGTGACCCTTATTTAGTTATATATAAATCTATTATTTATATTTTTAATAATATTAATAAAAAAGCAACAAGAAACAAAACTCAAAGTAATAAATAATGTAACTATGAAAACTTGCTAACTATGTTAAGTAAATAACGGTACTTGAAAAAATTTATTCTCTTAATCTTGGATAAAAGCCAAAACGGAGCTTCCCCAAACGCTTTCCGTTGTATAATTGTTATTTTAAAGCTGCATTTGCAACCTTATTTCATATCAATACGAACTTATTTTAATTTTATTACCAGTTCTTTCTTCCTGCTTAATTTCGTATTTTTCTCTTTTAGTCTCGTTTCTAAATCAGATTTAAATGTTGCATTTTAATATTCGGAAAAGCTTCAGAGATATTTAAGTTTATTTTATTTGTTTTTTAGTTTATCAGATGCTTTTTAGTGTTCCGTATCCAAAGGGTGAAACGGGAGGAACCCTATTACTTATGTGTATATGTGCTATTATTAAGACTTCGTAGTATGTCTGTCGCCGGGCTGTATCTCGTGAACCTTTTAACTTTCAAGTTAGCTAGTTGAAATTATCACAGATGCTGCTTAAATAACAAATATTAAAAAACAGAATTAAATAAATATTTAAGAGGGCTCCCATATAACAAACGTGATTGATTTGCACGCACGCCGTTTTCAAGGTGCCGCCATCTCTGGGGTCCCAGTTTCGATTCCCGGTTGGGTCAATGTAGAAAATGAATTTTTCTATATTGTCTCGGGTCTGGGAGTTGTGGTACCTTCGATGTCTCAGATACTTGATAATACGGGGGCTTTAGTTACTCATCTTGGAATCTGAGCAATGTATATGATGTTGTTTAATATAATCCGCCTACTACTGTTCTGTACAATCTAACTGGTTGACTGGGAGAGAATGCCTCTATGGCATTAAGTCCGCCATTTGTCCTTAGTTAGGCAATAAAGAATAAATAAATAAATAAATAAATAATATATATAAAATTTAATAAACATTTAAGGTTAGCTTCGTGATTTTTTGTTCGTTTCCGATATAGACGGTTTTTATTAATATATATTCTATATCAAGTTTCAAAATGTTGTTCATAACATAATATCTAACAGATCAATTATCCAATATTTTTCTATTAACATTTGCATGTCTATAATTCAAATTTATTTCCTTTTTTGCCAATTTACTACTATAAAACTAGAAATAAATAAAAATGGGTCAACAGCTTCTCATTATTTTCCTCATATGCGAATGCAGACCATACTGGAGTTTATACTCGATTTTAAATAGGAAGAAAAACTCATCTGACAAATTTCATCGAGAACCTACATTTCAATGGTCAAAAACAAAAACAAGCTTCATCATATCGCACCCCCGGTGCGACACTGTCACTTTTGCAAGAAATACAAAAATTAGTTAAATATGTAATAATTGTCCTAAAGCACCCCTTTACTTGGTGCGATAATGTTACTTTTGTAGTACGCATAGTTTCCGTATGATTCATCTCATCTATATCTTCTAAAATCATTGTTTTGTGAAATGTCAGAGTTTAAAACTCTTCTCCTGAAAAACGAAATTTTTGCATAAGTGACAGTGTCGCACCGGGACTGCGATATTCCTATTATGACTTGGCCAATCATTACACTATAACAAGAAAAGAGAAAGTGAAGACAAAAGTATTTCCCGCTACTAAGATGCATCTAGTTATGTGTATGAAGAATCTTTCTTTAGTTAATAACCTAGTATTTAGTATCATAAGATCTATAATTCAGTGGCGTTCAATAATATCAATAACGAACCCCATCTAGCTAGACAATATATTAAAATACCATATGTGGAATACAAGGACAGACATTAGAACTAATACTCTTGTACAAATTCCTAAATACGATACGATCCACATCTTAGTTAAAATTAAATTCAATATACGCTTAGTTGCACAAATGTTCATTAAGGTTTAATGACAGCTATAAGCTCTAATTGATGCTCTAAATTTGGTTTGTATCGGAAAGGTATTTTTAAACTAATGAAAATTTTAATGGACGCTTGTGCATATATGGAAATTAGTGTATTATTTATTATGTATAATAATTGAATAAATCTGGTAATGACATGGTTTTTGTAAATGTCATTACTCATATTAGAGCTGGTGAGTTTCTTGCTCGTTCTTCTTATCAGCCAAAAGACGTCCTGAACGAGTGGTAGGGAAAAAATGTTGGACGATTCAAAAGTACTTTTAAGAAGTCTATTTGAATAAAGATTATTTTGACTTTGACTTTGACTTTGAAAAATGCTTAAAAGATCCACTTTAATTATTTGTAAAAATATTTCGTTTGGCGGATGGATTGCTTGAACATTGATGTAAATACGCTTTGTATTAGCGAAAATGTAACAAGTACTTAAAAACACCCGTAGTTTTGTTGGGTCCTGGGTAGCTCGGTGGTTGGAGCGATCGCTCGGATTGCGTAAGGTCATGGGTTCGAGTCCCATCGCAGAGTACCAGGAACAAAGTGGATTTTTAAGCAACTATCTTAAAGAATATTTTTTTTATGAATAAAGTTTAAGTTTTTAACGAGCACTTCTGAAAGTCAATTCACAAGAATCTCAGCAAGGGTCGATATTTTTCTTTAATACAGAGTCATCGCACTGAGAAATGAATTAAAAATGTACACATGAGTCAAAAATGTGACAGAAAGCTAAATTTTGAGGCACGTCAAAGGTCACGAATGATTAAAGCATCACGTCATCGGGCGATACACCAATAAATAACTATAAGGAATAAAATTGCGTTGTATTTTATCCCTTATAGTTATTGAAACAAGACTCACTGTATATTTTAAACGCATTTTCGATTATCGAATTGCGGAACGATTCCGTAAAAATCCGAATCCATTTTTCTTTTAACATTAGTGTAGAAATTCTATTCATTCCATTTCTTGTTTTATATTTTTATAATAATATAAAATAAACTAGATTTATTGATTCATATGTGTCTAAGACACTCTATTTCTATGTTATTTAAAAACTCATTACACTTAAACCACGAAATGTTGTTACCAATTCAAGCGGATCCTGCTTTTGAAGTGAACTCGGATACCTGAGTGAATTCCAATTCGGGTTCGGATTTTTATAGAATCGCAGGGCTGCTCTGCGCAAATAAAGATAAATTATGAAAACTAAATGTACTTACATTGAATTTCAATAAATAAGTGCCGTTTGGTGTGCCTTCCTTCATAGTGATCATACCAGTGTTGCTATGGACATCGAAGTATGGACTCCTTTGCTCATACGACGGTAACCACATGAATCGCTTGTCCGGTAGGTCCCAGTCGTCCGGGTCTGTGACGTACACCCGTCCGATTTCAGTATCCGGTGCCTCGCCCTATTGAATAATGTAGATTATTAAAACATGAAAAGCTATATAGGTACCATACATGCATCGTGTTGTTTCTATACTACGTGTAATTAACGCACATCCTGAAAGTAGTTTGTTAAAAATCAGATACTGATTCGATTTCAACGACTTCTAATATAGGTTCCTTTTTTGCAAAATTTAATTGTAATCAAGTAAATTATGGTCACCTCAAAACCATTACACTTCAAAACAAGAAATAAACTTAAGTGAATGTAATAAGACTTTTTAAAATACACTATTTTCTTAGCTTTTATAAATATATATACCACAAATTAACGCTACTTATCGTGGAAGGAAACTATAAATTTACACTCGATTTTTCTTTTCTTTGTAAACTTTTAAAGATATATTAGATTCTCCTGATATGTTTTAAAAAATATATATTCAACTAGCCCGAAGTTGAGTTCGAGAAAAAGTGCCTATACCCGTTGCCGTTATGTAAAACGAATTACGCCATTGATATATATCCTATTTAATAAAACTATCGGTAAAATTATGTGCTGTGTGTTACTCATAGCGTAATAAATAACTTAAAAGAAAATCAATGTGAATAAATAATATTAAGCTTAATTGATTTTCATTAGGTATGAATTTGTAATGCATATTGTAAATAAAAATTGGTAAAAATTATAATGAAAAACATAACATATAACAATATAGATAAGAATATTCCTAGAGCGACTAAATGATACGTATCGCTATCCAGACACCTGTATCGTTTCCACGACCTACTGTGCTTTGTAGTTCGGTACCTCGCACAATAAAACGCAGTACTTCACGGTAATTATAAAGCTAGTAGCGAGATGATAGCGATGTGTATCGTTTACTTTTACCCTCATCTAATACCTAGCTGCTGCCTGCTCTACAAATAGACTACATTAACAAAATGTCGAATTTGCGACGTCCATTTTAACTTTCAACTAATTTTGGTTCCAAATCAATTGGAAAATTGTTGACAGTTCGTAAGTTGATGTTGACAGTGAGCAACTTGATTTGGCTTTGTCGTGGTAATTTTATGTACAAAAATTTTAACGAAGTTACGAAGGCAAATATTTAATTATTCACGGAGATTTTCACCTGAAAACAATGTTTTTGTAATGTTGCATAAATAATTACTTTCAGAAAATTGGACCATCGCATTCCTTTAATTTCGAAATCGCATTCCTTTACAAGGAAATTCGAACATTTTATTCGTTATATAAAGCATGGGTTTACCCATGGTGGAGCCAAGTTTTTTATAAGGTTCTTTCCCATACCTCTACCCCGACTTAAATCTGAAATAGGCAGGTAATCATTAGCCTAATTAAATATTTAATTTAGCAAATAAATATCAGGCGTTACAGTTATTGCTCGGATCCGAAATTAAGTTGCTAAAGTACTTGTACTATGAAACTCGTGTCTACTAGAAATTTATAAAAAAATACAGAAAATAGTTCTAGACATAGATAGTAATACACAAATATTCTCAAGCAATTTCTATTGGACGAGTAACAGCGTTGGCCTTATTTAGCGAATTCGTTACAAAAAACCTCATATAAAATATTTCCATGGGAAAAATCAAAGCTTTCGGCTACGTAGCATCAGCCATAACCGTTTACGAGCCGTGAAACCTTTTCTAACTGTTATGCCCTAAAATTATACCATAATGGAATAATTTTATTACGGGCGTGCAATGGACGACGTTAATTTTCTGATTCATTTACTAATTGCCGTATGAACTGTATATTGAAGCATTTGGAACAATAAAGGAGGAAACATGCCATCAAAAGAACACGTTAGGTTTACTTTTAAGTGTGCAATGAAATTTTGGAAAGGAAATGGAAAATACTGAGATTCTTTGTGAATGAATATATAGAAAGCGTTTAAGTAGTTTTTCAATATATAATCTTTATGTACTTTTATTATAGTCAACTTTTTCTAAAAATTTCAACCCTTTCTGGTTAAGTTCTAAATTGATTATCTTTTAAATAATTAAAAAGAAACGAATGTGACGGATTTTCTTTTTATCACTCAAACAAATGACAGGTAACATTAGAATCCTGACGACTCGGTTCTTACGGGTGCACATATATTTTCATACAAAGATTTCTATAATTTCTTTCTTTTGCCTATTTTGGCGCCGTCTATTCGAATATTGGGCGTTTACCTTAAAATGTCTTCTACAAATAAAACAAACCTTTCAATAAGGAATACCTACTTGAAAAATATATCTATTACCCTAAAATACCCCAGTAATAGAACCGAAAATATATTTTTACGAACTCAACTTTTTACATGATATAGAGGTGAGACACGTATCAAGTCTTTTACAATACTAGGCGGCACCTATTTTAATTGTCTAAATGCTTGTACCACTTCAGTAGTTATGTAAATCACTCGAGTTTCGACAACTCTCCTTGTATTTTATCTATTTCACAATTTTCGACTTATATATACACCACGGAATACGAATTCAAAGTATTGGATCAAATCGTATAAACTAATTTATGCTGTATTGATTTGTACATATAGTTCCTGATAAGTCTGACCTACGAATTACTACGGGAACTACTAATAACAGGTGGCAAAGGTAGTATTTGAATCGAGAATTAGATAATAATAGGAACAGCTTAACTAGGAAATTATTAATTAATTAATTATTTAAATTTTAATGAATATTTAAGACCTCTTTTATAAGCAAATCTAAATAAAATAAAATAAAATCTAGCGCAAGGCGCCGCATAACAAATTTCATACCTTATTAATTTATTACTTAATTTCGTTAGGTGGTTCCTAGTCAACGGTAAATTGCATTTTTACTTAAGGCAATCCTAAGTTATTGAAAACGGGTATTAGTATCAAATTTACTCAACACTAACGAGACTTCAGTATAAAATCGCTGTTCTATACGATAAAATGAATTATTATTACATCAACAAGTTTACTTAAACTACGCCCGAGGTATTGTGGGAGCTACTCAATCTTTCAGTCGGGTTAGTCAGTATTGTGTTCAGAATCCCGGGTTTAGAGTAAACGCTGGGTAAGCCTGTCGTTAAAACGAATATGGCACAAAGGAGTAAAGGTTTGTTTAGACGTTGTTACTCGCTCGGTTTAATAAAACAATATTTACAGATTGGCAACATGTAAGAACTTTTAAGAACGGTCTGTAAGAGGTCTTCAGTTTTGTAAACTAGTCTGTGTACCTAATTAGTGGGGGACACTGGTGTCACCGTGTGGAGAGATAAAACCTGATGGTGTAAAAGAAATTACAACAAAGCTTTTATAAAACATTTAGAAATATGTAACACATTCTCATGTGCTCTTAGGACTGTTTTACACCAAACGTATTGCATTGAACTTTTGATGAGCTCTAAATTGAAGCTTTCGGCGTCAATTATAATAAAAAAAAGATAAACAGTATTATATTTATATATATAAATTATTAGACAATCACTCAGTTTCACAAACATTATTTAAAGTTTAATGACTTTACATGTATGCTCTAATGAATGTTGTAAATTTGTTTCGGTGATTTCGCTTAAAAAGAAGACAATTTTAATGGGCCTTGGTGCAACTTTTTGAAAATCACGTATGTTAGATATTATTGAGTACTTAAAACAGTGAAGTTATCAGAACACTCAGATACATATCAAAAGTTTTTTTTTTCTTAATTGATCTAACTCGTTAAAACAGAAACGTGCGGACCATTCCGCCACGGAATTGACGAATGCATTTAAAATATAAATACAATTTCATATTACAATATTATTTTTGGTCTATGTTGACTAGATTTATCACAATATATCAAAACACCAAAATATTAAATCGGTATCGATACATACTTATAATAAATATTCTATCTTTATTTGGTTTCTCATGAAAATTATTACTAGATATTAGCCCACATAAATTATTAATGTCGCACGACTCTATTAGATTACTGAGTTTTGGCAATACTAGTTGTAATTTTCGAGATTTATATTTATATCTATATTTCGAGATTTATGTTTATATCTAAATTTCGACATTTATATAACGTTAGGTTGGCGCGTTTTGATTCATTCAATGTAAAATAACAAGCAATAAGCTTGTAGTCACTAACCAAATCGAATTTCTTTCACCTAAGAAACTAAACTATTCTGGTACTAATTAGTGACAGTAACTTGCTTGGTTACTTAACCATTGCACTAGTGATATTCAACGATCCTTCACTGCCGTACATACCTCGGTAGTCTTTACTTCATTAGTAACAGAAATCAAACCACAAATTAGTCAACGAGGCAAATGTGGTTAGCAGTCTATTGCTAATAATAACCCTTTCATTTAAATTTACACTTGAATAGCGTAGGTATCTTATTTCATTCTCAAAAAAAGATTTTTATTTTCAGTAAATAATGAACGGATTTTTTCGTCAATTCCGTTTTAATGTCAATAAAATAATTTTATCTGTTTAAAGTCGCTGGTGTATGAAATATCAAACACAATGGCTCGCTGTATTACTGAGTACTGCCAATTCACTGAGTTGTTGAGCGAATTGCAAATGGACATGATGTACAATTAGCAAAAATCTAACTTGACTAATTTTACGAATTTTTTGGGTGCAGTGCATAAAATTCTATAAACGACTAACATACGGTCATAAAATTCGGACATTAAGTGTGAATTTAAGATAATAATGTCGGCAGTAATGGATTTCTACACAGCCAATATTAGGTCACGCAGATCAGAGAATAAAGAATATTCATAAAAATATTATTACCCTTTTTTTGAAGGAGGAATAATAAGCCAGTTTTGCCGGTTTTACTAGAGTAAGTTATTTTGGATTTTGATATTTAAAGTGTAGTTGAAATCATATTATGGTTAACTTGGTTTTAGATATTTTTAAATCAATCTAAAGTTTAGAGTAATTTAGAAAGATTAAGTTGCACGGCAAATTTGATTGTACTTTTAATAATAAAATATTATGTAAAAATGTAACAAGTTGACTTTTTTAGAAGGAGGAATAAATACGAAGGAATAAAGAGGAATAAACTGTAAATAGAGAGATATTTCAATATAGATACAAATTTTTTTTTGCGGACATTCATAACTAATTAAAACAATATTTTGTTTTCCCAACGTTGCATCTTGTTCTTTTTTGAATGAACGTAAATAATTAGAAGAAAGACAATATTTTACATGAAATATTATTTATATTATCATCAATTTGTAATGAAGAATAGATTTTTGTCTTTGTTTTTTTGTGAAATTTCTAACCGACTCACCAACTCGATTCAATAAATATTTACACACGTCTAATAGACAGTACTAAGAATAAACAATATAGAGTCTATGGAAAACCATATGTATCGTTTTCTTTCGACGCTCACATAATGTCTGTGTCATTATCCATTTTTTTTTTGGGATAGGGGGCAGACGAGCAGACGGATCACCTGATGGCAAGTGATTACCGTCGCCCATGGACACCTGCAACACCAGAGGGGCTACAAGCGCGCTGCCGGCCTTTAGGGACGAATATGATCATAGGGAGGAAAGGGTTGAGGGGTAGAGGGAAGGGAATAGGGAGGGGTTGGGCCTCCGGTGCCCTCATTCACACGACGAAACACAACGCAAGCGTTGCTTCACGTCGATTTTCTGTGAGGCCGTGGTATCTCTCCGGTCGAGCCGGCCCATTCATGCCGAAGCGTGGCTCTCCTACTCAATTGTCCTAAAACTAAAGATTTTTTCGTTTGCTCATTGTTGTTTCATGCGATTCTTAATTTTGGTAGGTTATAATAATAATATATGATACTATCTGAACAGACTATGGTTGAAAAAATCACACAACACACAGGTGAAGCCTCGACTACAAACATAGCGTTTGTCTTGGCGTGACAGAAGACAGTGGTGAGTTAAATGTCTCATGCGATTCTATTGAGTAAAATATAAAACCGTAGGTCAGTACAGTACATTAGTATACAGTACACTAAATATTAAATTTATTCATTTACAAATAATATATAAATGGTAATATAAGCGCCATCTTTTGACACTCTAAAGAAGTACTCTGTGGTATTTACCTTTATTTAAAATAATTAATTAAAATGGTAGAAAATAAGTCGAAAAATAAACCACATCCACCAGCATTTACTCTGGAGAAATCAGGACAAAGCTGTAAAAAGTGCCTTCCCTCATAATCCCTGTTTATAGTAACGCAACCGTACTAAACCTACTTTCATTAAAGCGCAAAATTAACATTTTAATATCCATATATTATAATATAAAACATGGGGTATTATCGTAAAGGTTTATAAGGCTATATTGGATCGGCTCACTTAATTATTCATTGAGGGATGCGGGGCCGAAACCGCAGTTTCGATTGATGTGCTTTAAGTAAGTACTAACTTAAATAAAAGGGTTTGTGAATACAAGAGAATTTGCTTACTCAAGTTTTTATAACTCAATTTAATAAGATTTTATTGGTATGGTTTAATAGAAATTGGATTATAGTAAATTCACTTTTTATTTTAAGTGTAATGGCGTACTATACTAATGTCAATCAGCGTTATGGAGATAGAAAAAATAGTTTTAACAAGTTAAGGTATGTAGCGCTACATAATTTTGTGCCTTTTTAAAATTTATGATTTCGTCAATTATTTCATTTATCAGCTCTTTGTTTTTAAGTAGGTAGGTAAGCAATTTATTTATGTCAATTAGCAACTTTTGAATTTGTGGTATAGGTAGTACCGCGTCTAATAATAGAACAGAGGCTGATAAGATTTCTGACTTTAAAAGTCGAAAACTACGAATACGGGCGAATTAGCTGATCATGATTTTAACCACCACACTTAAAATAAAGTAACTCGCATTAGTTAACCGGTTTGTACTAATTTAGTATCTTTCGATTTATTTGACTACATGGTTCATAGAATACAGCCCGGTGATAGACGGACGGAAGGACGGACGGACAGCGAAATCTTAGTAATAGGGTCCAGTTTTACACTTTGGATACGGAACTCTAAAAATTACTAATCTATTCCTAATGATTTTCTTTTTTACCCTTTTGGGAAAACACTTTAAAAAAAGTTTAAACTAGATGTTGTATGAAGAGAAACATTAACCGGATGTTAATACACCTCGATGACTTTTTAATTCATTAATAAAATTTATTTAACAAGGGTAAAACATAAAAATATTTACGAACACTTATAAAAAGCAAAGGGATCCGTATCACGGAGCGTTTTCATACTTTATTATGCTTTATAAAATGAGGCGTTGAATACAAATTAGGGCATGAAGAAAGCCTTAAGAACCTTCTGAATAAATGAGAGACGTTCGTAATTTCGCAGACACTTTCAATTATGTACATTATAATGTAAATTATACTTAATTTGTTATTCAACTCATGCAAGCCCTACAAGTAGGTATTGTTTGTATCACAATAAAAATTCATGCATTGAAAATAAATAAAAAAATAATAAACATTCATTCGAGTTTTAAAATATTGAAAGGAAATAGAGAGAAAGATTTTATTGTTTGTTTGCATTGAACAGTTTTTGAAATTACTAAACAGATTTTTAAAATTCTTTCACCTACAGGATTTTATGTCATCCGCGGGTGACATAGGCTCTAATTTAGGCAGACAAAGTCGAGAACCAACTATATTGTAAAAAGAACTTATATGACTTCTAAAAAGCGAAGTAAAATTTAAAAAGTGAGTACTCTGGTTTCTATAATTAAAAATAGATATTAATTTTTATGTTCCGTCGAGTGCTCTCGCGAATATACTATACAAATACTACAAATACTGTAAAATACTTTATCATGTGGAATGAACAAACTTAAAAAAACTAGCAATCCTCATGAACCCATAAATAAATAAACCACAAAAGCATGCAATTGAATCTGGATGGTTTATTTGACAAGATTATAAATTATTAATGTATATTTTAAGTAATGAAAAACCAAATACTGATGATACGTAGATTTATTAATTCAGATTTAGTAATTTCAATAAAGGTTCAATTTACTTAAACCAAATCAGATTTTGGTTTGAAATATCAAACCAAAATCTGATTAATTCCTTTAGAACAATTACCTACTCTTGTAACAGTTTATTACAAAAGAGAATCGGATATTAGAATTAATCGCTTTTAAAACTCCTTTGCCAAAGACTAGAGAAACATCCGAGCTGAAATTACGGTACTCAAGAATTAAGCGCAACAAATTTACAAAGTTCTCATACCATCCAGTACAATTATAAATGAATAAGTACTTTTTAAAGTTTCAAAACAAAATTATGAATAAATCCATTCAAAAAAGCCACTCCGTAATACTTACGTAATATCTCCAACTGTATAATTCATTGTAGTACATTTCCGTCTGTTAGCATTAAAAAAGCAAATTATAAATATATTATAAATCTAAACATAATATTACAGTGAAAAAAATGCAAATGCCGTTATAAGATTTGATAGTATAGGAATACCTTCGTCTGACCCAAAAGACGAATGAAACTACAACCAAAGCTACCTACTGTTAAGGTAGCAGAGTAAAAACTAAGCTGTGTGGGTTAAATTCCTTTGCCTTAGTTAATTAACAAAAATCTGAAGTTATTGTTTATTTATAGACAAAGAAATTCAACTCATTTTGTCCTATCTGGCATATCTTTTTTCTTCTATTTTAAAACGTAGGTATTCGATGTTTAAATACTTTTCTTGAGTCAAACGTAAGTTGCAGGAATAAACGGAATAAACTCTTACGGTCAAATAAAACTCTTTTTATGACCAGAAACTTGCTTCAAATAATACAAATCCCATGTAAGTAATAAAGTGCCTGTACGACTGTTTTAAATTCACGAGTGTAGCATTTCAATAAATATTTTTTTCCCTATCATTTTGTTTTTGTTAGTTTTGCAGATATTTCAAATATTTTACAACTCGTAAAATATATATCATAACTGTACTGGATGGTCGATTAATAAACGACAGTAATAAAATATTGTTTTTGAATAAAATCTTCATAAAAAAGTTTAAATGAATTTTAATTCAAATTTCTAAAATAAAATAATGGCGATCCAAGCCAACGCAAAACGAATTTTCAGCTGCAAATAATTTATGTGGCATTCATTATGCGCCATGTTACTATTTGGGTATAAATTTACATTACTACTTACATAGCGAACATATTAAACACCTTTTGTCGTAAAATAATAAAATTAAAATAAAAGCCAAGTGAAGTATGATCAAAGGGTTTACAGACTAACGTGTCTGACAATTATCCTCCTCTAAAAAAGGATGCCGCAATAATGCGACTCCATGATAAGTTTATGAGTTCAGATAATCACCTTGTAATTATAAACGAAGATATCGCTGTGCCCCGGTCCCATTGGGTTGTCGTTCCTGTCTCCAATCACAACGTGGAGTATGGACACCCCAGTTAACCGCGGAGTGCCGGAATCGGTGATGGCTACCGGTATCTTATATTCCTTCTGCTGTTCTCTGTCGAATGTCACTAACGTCGATAGGATGTTTCCTTGAAAAGAGCATAATCATCCTTATAAATTCCTTATCACATAGATTATAAAGTTTTAATCTGAGGCCCCACGGCCACAGACTAGTTATTGTTAGTACAGAGATACTTAATTAGGTATGCAAATATTATCGGAACCAATTAGGCGAACGTTAAATATTAATTAATTTACCACATCCCATCGATTTACGAAGTCAAGTACCAAGAAGTTTAAGCCTCGCTAATGTATTACGGACGTGAGAGAACTAAATAGTTGAAAGACTGACAAATGAGATTAAAGTTTTATACATTGTTTAAAGTGCTGACATGAAAAGAAAATAAAAAATCTGATTATAAATAATCAACTTTTAGAGAAAAAAAATCATCATATTTTCCACTGCGTTTCGTTTCGGACATCTCTAATTGTCACTTTGATGTTGGAATGATCAGATTCGCGCCTATATATTTTCGGGTTAACTATTGAAATTCTGTTAGTTTAAATGAAATCGTACAGTCAATTGGACTTATTTCTACTAATAAACCGATTCTAATTTAGATAACGCGAATAATAAAGAATTCGGGTCACCCATTATTTGAAAGGTAAAGGTCAGCCTCAAACTGAACAGAGGCAACTGAATTATTAGCACGGCAACTTGAATGGAAAGACCTAAATTGAATTGCTACTCCAAAAACAAAGTTACAGTTAGCTACTCATTTAATGCATGTTAACAATGTTAATTGATCGAAACTCGATTTTGGGTAGTCTACAAAATTTTCGTATTTCTCCAAATACCCTCTATTTCGTATTGGAACAAATCGAAATGAGATTACGCGTTCGCAAGTTTGTCTCTCCCGGTGAATATAAAGTAGCTAAGAGGGCAAAGCAAATCGCCCAATTTTAAATTGATTATTAACAAAAATAAACAAACACTGAACAAAACTTCAAAAAAAGACTAGGTGTACTAATCATCGGGAATAAAAGAATAAAGATTTTTTTTTATGCGACAGATTCAGTATTTCAGAGTTTATTTCTTTCTTGGTACACTAAAAGAAAAGTAACAACATTTTACGTATTTGTTTTTTAATTTTTAGTTATACTATATATATAATACTATATATATATGACTAGTGGACTAGTTATTTTTTAAGCACTATATATAATACTATATATATAGTGCTTAAAAAATAACTAGTCCACTAGTCAACTAGTTACTCTCCATATTAGATTTAAAATGATGCAATTTAACGAATCAGTCACTTAACCTGTATACAAATTTATTTAAAGGTTAGCCGTTTTAGATTAAAAACTGTTTATATACATGAAGTTCAATATTGTATTTAAATCTATACTAATATAAAAAGACGGAAGATTTAATTGTTCGTTTGTCTGCATTGAATAGTCTTCGTAACTACTGAGCCAATTTTAAAAATTTGTTTCACTCACGGGAAGCTATGTCATATGCGGTTGACACAGGCTATATTTTACGCGGGCGAAGTTTCGGTAAAATACCTATTTTATGATAAAATCTAGCTTACCTTGAATTTGAAATTTGGTGCGTATCTCGAAGGATGCCGAATCGTTCAACGCAAATTCGAACGGAGGTCCGTTTTCGGGCGAATCGTAATCTTTGGCTGTCAAAACCACCACTTGCCCGGGAGGTTCATTCTCGTACCAAATTATGGGCTGTGTCTGTTGAGAAATAAATATTTTTCTTAAAAGAAAGGTACGGTGTACATATTCTAATGTCATCCGTGGTTTAACAATATATCGAATAAAAACTTTTTTGTAGATTTTATGGTCTAGTCTAGAGCGCTTTGTTGGTTAAAGCGGGTTAAATGGGAAGATTTGTTGGTTAAAGCGAGTTAAATAGGAAAATTCAGATATTTTGTGAACCTTTTTGAAAACGGTAAAACATCAAAAAGTCATAAAGTTAAGTGTTAACTTGACGAAACAAATTTCCACGTGGCACGCGCGGTTTTTCCTGGTTTAAATCTTACGTTGGTTTCATCAATCAACCTGGGCAATGCAGGGTCAATGTATTTTTTATTCATAAGATAACCTCATTTCTTTCTTAAGTCAAAAAACCAGCTAGAGGCAATTTCGTCCGATCTAGATGTAACTAGTCCTCGATCGGTAGATTATTTACTACAACTTTCAAAAGAATGAAGGTCGGTTGCGACCAAATTAAAGACAAAGGGATCAAGCCCGTGCAGCCTACTTTAGATAGTATATGATAGTAGATAGTAAATGAGTTTTACAGATTCTCACCAACTCGACAAAGGTGAATTAACATTATTGTACAGCAATTATGTGTTCACACTTTTCCAGTCAAAAAATAAATAGCTACAAGGTTATTTATATAATCAGTCCATTCAAATTTCTCGAGTAGCATAATTTACTTTCCGAAAGCTACTTTTTTATATCAGTTCATCTAAGATCAATGAAAAAATGAGAAGCCAAAGAATCGATTTCTATACAGGCTAACTCATAATGATAATTTATATTATGACCTCTGTAAAAGGCGAAGTTTTCTGATAATATTCTTATTGATAGTCACTTATTTTTATTTAAACACATTCTTCGGTAAGATTTGATAGTAAGTTTGGGCTTTGTTTAGTGGTTGTGTTATACTATTTTACATCCATTGTGTTCTATAACGAAATTGCTGTGATTTACGTCTAATATTTCAGCTCGCCTAAACATATTTTGTGAGGGAGAGAAATTTGTGGAGTTTTCGTACACACGGTAACATAATACATCCGCAATTTTGCCGATTTTATTCCTAAAAATATTTCTTTAAAAAATATACCTAATTCAAATTAAAAAAAAAAACTTACTAAATAATACTTATTTTAAAAGCGGAAAATTTTTTTAGGAACCGTTGAAGCCAGGCCGAGTTTTTTGTAGTTTATTAAGTATAAGCCACCCGACTTCAATGTTTCTTGAAAAATTGAACTACTTGTAAAATAAGGATTATTTGTCACTTAAATTTAAAGTCGGTTCTATTTTTTTAAGAAATGTTTTTATTTCATTATTTTTAGTGATACTTATAAATGGTCCTTTGCATAAAAAATTATATAATATATGTATTATCGATAGTTCAATAGAAATGGATAACCTGAGGACAGCTGCAGTAATACGAGGATCGGGTGTAAGACAACCAAAGCGTAAAGTATATAAGACAACTTTACTGACTATAGAACTTCAAAACTATAGATTTTTTATCCGATTTCAAAACTTAATACAAAATCTACAAAGAGTATATTTACATAAAGATATAGAAAAGGATAATCTATGTACAAAAAGGTGTTTTCATGTTGATGTCACGCTGATATAAACGTGACATCAAATATTTAGGTAATGTCTGAGGAAAGGCTTATTTTGTTTGGTTATAAAAATAAAACTACTGATTCAATTTCGATAAAATTTAAATGGAACACTTCGGCTTATTAAGCTGTCGAATAAAGAGTATTTTGAAAATTGATTCATAATTGGCGGATTAATCACGTAACACACGCACAAAATAAAATACATACAGTCGAATTGAGAACCTCCTCCTCTTTTGAAGTCGTTTAAAAACAAGCTTTCAACTGAGCAATAATAATGGAAAAACATTTATTTTTTCTATAAACCTTGTACAAGCACTGAGGCAATGATATAAAATTGTTCACGTTGAAAGGAAATACATGTCGAACAACGTACAAACATGAAAATTAAAGGCATAACTTTTATTGTTATACAATATTTAACCGCAAAATGCTTAATCCTATTACATATCGTACCAAATAGGGTTTGGTACTGAGAAATTGCCGTTGCAAATTATGTAATTGTATTTTAAAAATTGTTTGTTCAAATACTAATTTCCTGTTGAATATTTTTTTGTAGTTTTATTTTAATTAAAACTGCTATTTCCTAGGTCGTATACAATATCTTTGTATATGAAAAGCAGATATCGGATGTTCAAAATTTGCATTTTTCAAGATACAGGAAACAATTTTATATCATTATTATGAAAACACGTTTTTCAAATCTTTAATTTTAGAAATTGAAAATTTACTATTGTAAAGAACTAGTTTTTTTTTTTTTAATCATAGTTTTTGCACTGTTTGGCCAAAAACAGTTTGACATAAAATGTTTAGATGAAAAAAAAAGAAAACATTTTAATGACGACTCCACCATCTTTTTATGCCGCCGGTATATGTATATAATGACCACAAGGAAAATGGCTGATGCCAATCATTGTTATAATTTTAAACTAACAATTTATGCCTTTTCAATTTTGTAAGTCGAATACCGTAAGTCGCTTATAGAAAAAAAGGCAAAGGAATTACCCCAGTCTGCCAGAAATTGAGGATCTTAAGATCTAGGGACACCTTTATAGTTACGGATTGGACGACCATAGGTATCTAATTTGCATGCGAAATTGACAACGGGTTTACCCAAGACGACACCCTAAAACACCGAACACTTTTATGTCATTATGAATAAAACATCACAGTGAATCTTATGGGAAAAGGACAAATGAGATTATCTGTATACTTCGTGGATGTGTCCTTTTATTCACTGAGATTGGTTTGGTACTGGAAATTCTGGGTTCTATCCCCAGTAAAGTTAGAAAGAGATGTAAATACGAAATCACCTTTTCCGATTAGCTTAACATAATCAGTGGCCTCGGTAGATTAATGGATAGTCTTTTCGGCTATTATGAATATTATCTAATGGTTACTCACTCATCACGAAATCTCAGAAACTATAAGTGCCTAGGCGTTTCAAATTTTGCATGATAGCTCTTTTTAGGAACCAGGGGATTTTATGGAATTCGACCCCTGAGGAGTTGTTTGGTTTGGGTTTATAGTTTGTTTGTACTTTGTTACTGTTACTACAAGTGCTGTCTCAAATTTTGCATATGAGTTCTTTTTAGTATTCTGAATTAACATATAGGCAATTTTTTATCCCACGTAACGGTTCCCTAGGGTCCTTGCAATAAAAAGAACACTATTTAGATCCGTTTTCAACTATTAGTGTGCAATTATATCTGAATTTAGAAGAAATCCTTGTTATGTAATGATTAAAATATCAAGGATACGAAAGTTCAAAAACACAGCATTGAAAAAAATACATATGCAGGTAAAAAATTATAGAGTGACGAAATCAGTATTCATTTTGGAGCAGCCGCAATTCGTCCTTCCGCAGCCGGATATTGTCGCAGTGACGTTAATATTTATGTGAGATTATGAACGAAAATACCCGAAACTTTTGAAAAAACTTTAAGCATTAAGAACATTAATAGTGATACTTTAAACCCTGTTTCTGAATTGATTATTTAAAATTAAGCACATCTCAAACTGTACTGAAACGACACTTATACAGGTTTTCGTTTTTGATTTTAGTTTTTTTACACCACTACGACGAAGCGAAAAGAAGGGAGAAATTTTTTGCTTGAATACACCAGAAATCTTATAAAATAAAAAAATAATAATTGCGAATCATAATAATATGTTCATGTACAACAGTTTGTCTTGTTATGATCAGTGGCATACGCATACGTCCTTTTGTCATCACCAGAGGTCGAAATTAGGTAGAGTTATTTATGTACTTGCATCGAAATGTTGATATTAATGTGGACCTTCCCGGAATTTCTTTATTTCTTCTTTCTTTATTTCTTTCTTTCATTGATGTAAGTTTGGCAACGTCGTGCGTGCAGTAGTTTTAATTGTGTAAAAGTAAATAACTTTTTATTTAAAAAATCACGGGATATTTTCTTCTCTTTAAAATTAATCTCGGGATTTGAGGCATATCCACTTTATTCTTTCGCTGTATGAAATCAGTGTAAGTACATGAATAACTCTACCTAATTCCGACCACTGGTCATCACTAATATCGTATAATATAGCTATCGCTATAAATAAATTTTATTGTTTCATACTCTTTAGGGTTCTAACTTTTCAACTTCTTTTTTAATTAATGATCATTTGGTTGCAGTTTCATAATAACTACGACTTTTTGTTATGTGAAAAAAAAAACTTTTGTTATGTATCGAGAATAATCAGATGAGATTTTGTACTTTTCTCAATTCAGAAACGGGCCGGTGATTACTTGTCCAGTTTCACCCTTTGGGTACCAAAGGGTAAAAAACTGGACCCAATTACTGAGACTCACGTGTCGGTATGTCTGTATCTGTCACTAAACTGTATCCCATAAATCGTAATAGACAGTTGTTAATTTTACAGATGACTTATTTCTGGTGGCGTTATAACAAAAAATAAATACTTAAGAGGGCTCGCACTCAATAAATGTGATTTATTTTCGTGCGCAAATCCGACTCGTATTTAGTAGGTTTTTATATATTATCACTCAAGAGAATCAGCGCATAGAAACTATTCATAAATAGCACAAACACTGGTTTTAATAAACATTAAACATTAAAGAATTCATGATTTGTCAAACAATAACACTCCACTCTTCCACAACAACCGTAAAACCGAAACTCAAACAAATTACACGGTTTGTTTGTTAACACAAACATGACCTTTATATCTATAAACTCAACTAACTAGACATTGCGAGGGTTAGGAATGACTGTTTATTTAAAAAAAAATGATATTAGATGCACATTTACAAGGTGGCGAATAAAGCGACAAAGGCGGTTTTAATTAATTACTTATTGTAAAATGGTTGCATAATTCCCT